ACCTACAGCCATGTTTCCCCCTAACTTGATACTCTCCCACCTCTCGGGCCTTCTTTAAGATCCTGGCTCTTCCTTACCTCAGGAACATTCCACAGGCTATTATGTCTGCCTGTACTGTTCTTGTCTCTGTTTTGTTTCACATAGCTAACTTCTCCTCATTATTCACTTTTCTTAACCATTTAAATATCATATCCTTAGAGAAGCCATGCTTGAGACTTTCCAGGCTAAACTGTTATAACGGTTCACATTTCCCTCTATTTTCTTTCGTAACACCTAATACAATTTGTAATTATAAATTTTTTCCTATATGATTATTTGTTAAATGTCTCCCTTCTATATTAGGCTATACGCTCCATAGGGCAGATATCATGTCTTTTTTGTCCACTGTATTCTCAGCACGTAGTAGTATGTCTGAAACAGACCAGACCTTCAGTAAACATTGTTGAATAATGAATTAGCAAGACCCAATAGAGCACAAGAGTTGAAAACAGGAGATAAGGAAGTAACTGATAAAATAAGATACCCAAGGAGGCCACAGGAGACTAAATTCAGAGCATTAGATGGAAGGTAGAGTATATGCACATTAAAAAATAAAATGACAGGTGCTAAATCAATGATGGCCATAGAAAGTCCAAGTCTTGTTAGAATGTATGTCTTGGGAGACTAGGAATGGTTTCCGAGAAGTAACTGGACCAGAAGGGATGGTTAGATTTTATTATTAACTATGATTTTATTTTAAATTTATAAAAATAGAATGAATTAAATGACAACTTGTGTCATAGGTTGGATTCTCTGGGGAGCAGATGTTGAGATGGAGTTAGAAGTGCAAAAGGTTTACTGGAGAGTAGTACTTGTGAAAGGGAAAGGAAGGAAGCAAGATGGGGTGGGCAATCAGACTGCCATGCAGGTCTGAGAAAGCTTTTGTCATCCCAATGTTGAGTAGGTCCTTACACTATGCCTTACTCAGTCTTTGGCTGAGGATGGGCATGGGGGAGAGGGGCTGCCCTGAGAATAGTATAACTTTAGCTTGACAGGTGAGGTGAACTCAGGAGTTAACAGCTGGAGGCTGTCAGCTAACTACATGCCTTGCAGTTGGGCAATGAGTCCTTTCTGAAGGTAGATCTGAGCAGCGCACCTCTGTGACTGCCACACGTTATAGGATGCCAATATAACCTAAATTAATCTATAGATTCAACGAAGAGATTTTTTTGACAAGCTCAACAATCTTGTTCTAAGAAGTATTTAGAGGACCAAAGGTTCACATTTAGCTAAGTCAAATTCGAAAGAGAAGAGCAAAGAGGAGGGATTTGCCCTATTATGTATTAAGATAGCCTATAAGATGATGGTAAAAAAAAAAACCATGGTACTGGTGTAATCATTGACAAAGAGACCAACTGAAGAAGAGGTCAGAACCAGAGCCATATACAAATGGAAATACGAATATAAGAAAAATGTGGCATCAAAAAGCAATGGGGAAGGGACAGATGTTGAGTAGAACTACAGAAAAAAATTGGCTTTCCGTCTGGAGAAATCCTCACCTTACACCAAATAAAGGAATGTATTCCAGAGACAAATGTGATTCTCTGGAGAGAGTACTGAACAGTAAAAGAAATAGAAGAAAATACGGAATATGTTTGTGATGTTGAAATGCAGGCTGAGTTTTTAAACAAGACCCTAAAAGCACCATTGAGAGTGATAAGATTGTATCCACTAGCTAGGAGAGAGAACTGAAAGAATCTAAGGAGGAGTGAAGTACACTATAGAGAATATTCCTAGGATCAGGGCAGCTAAGTAAACTAGAAGGAGATACAGGTCTGTTAGGAAATATATCATTATGACTTGCCTATCCAAAATATTTTCCCCTGCCTCTACTTCCTTCCTATTTAAAGGGAAGCATATATCCTTTAATAAACATTTTTGAGTTCCAGACACTGTGCTAAATGCAGGAAGTACAAAGAGAAATAAGCTTGAGTCCTAGCCCTTAAAGAGCTCATAATCTAGTAGGGAGATAGATGAGAAAACTAAATAAGATGTTTTAACTACTATTCTACAGGTAGGAACCAAGAGGCAACTACCTTTCCCTAGGGCATGAGTGAGAAGCTGGTATTTGAGCAATGAGGAAAGTCATTCTAGGCCAAAGGAACAGCACTAACAAAGTCACAGGGCTTTGAAAGAGCATGGTGTGTTGGAAAATGTTACATAGGTAACCTAATACTGAACATTCTGAAATGTTCGTTACTGAATAGAGGAAGTAGTCTACGGGGGTTGTTTTAGTCTTTTCTTAGTAGCACTGATTACCACATTAGCTAATTATCACCTTTGAAAGCAAAGCCAAACAAGATGAAGCTCTAAAGTGATGAGGGATAAATGTTAATGGGTAAAAACAGAAGCGTGCTGAGAAACACTGATGACTGATTGTGGAGTGATAACAAGCACTGTACCATGGATTCAGAGGAGGAATAGTAGCTATCAGCTACATTGGTCAAGGAAGATTTCAAGGAAGCAGTGGGGCTTCATTTGCTCATTAAAAAATTGAAAGCTGGGCCGGCCCTGTGGCTTGGTGGTTAAGTGCGTGCGCTCCGATGCTGGCGGCCCGGGTTCGGATCCCGGGCGTGCACCGAGGCACCACTTCTCCGTCCATCCTGGGGCTGAGTCCCACATACAGCAACTAGAAGGATGTGCAGCTATGACATACGACTATCTACTGGGGCTTTGGGGGGAAAAAAAAAAAAATTGAAAGTTGAGAACTGACTGTATATATCAGGGGCTGTGCTTGGGGCAGGAGATTCAAAATCACAGTCTACTATGGAACAAATAATCAGATAATTGCAAAAATAAAGCAATGAGTGCTACAACAGAGGCACGCACAGCCTGATGTGAGAAAACCTCAGTGGCTCTTGCTTTAGAGCAGGAAAGTCAGGGATAGATTTCCAAAGGTGATGCTGTATGCACTAAATTTTAAGTATAAGTACGATAAGTAGGATTCCATCAAGCGAAAGGGAGGGAAACATATTTTGCAATGGCTTAGTTTAGAGAGAGAACACACATCTTTCAAGGAACATGAAATAGTTCAGGATGGCTAGAGCAAAGGCTGAAACACACTGAAATAAGTTTCTAAGGCAAATAGGAAGGGGTTTGATTACAAAAAGCCTTTTCTAGGACATTAAAGAATTTGGATTTTCATTCTGAAGACAATGTGGGAGTTGGTGAAGTTTTTAAGCAGGGAAGTGACATGATGAGATCCAAGTTTTACAATGATTGCTATTAAAGGCAATGATGATGAATGCAATCAGAGATGAACTGATACGGGGGCAGCCTAACAGGCAGAGATTAAAACGCTGTTGCTATTGTTTAGGATAAATAAGAGAAGACCTCAAACATATAGTAGCAGTGGTACTGAGAGAGAAGGATGGACAAGGTTGGAGCAGCCAGAGGAAGAAGGCATTCCCTGTGGAAATGATGGGAATAAATGTTTGGAGAAGGGGGAGGTTAGCAAATGAGTTTACCTGGAGTATATAGTATTTGATAGAAAAACAATGATTAGCTTTGGAAGGCTAGAGTAGAGGGCCAGAGCTATGGAACAGTTGGTGATGAGGTTGAAAACACTGGTGGAGTCAGCCTGTGGCAAGGCTATTAAACAAAAACGCTAAACAATTAGAATTCTACTTTTTCCCTAGCAATATTAAATTTATAAATTATTTTTTATTTTGCTAAAATATACATAACAAAAGTTACCACTTTAACAATTTTTAAGTGTACAGTTCAATGGCATTAAGTACATTCACACTGTTGTGCAACTATCAAGACCGCCCATCTCTAGAAGTTTTTCATCATCCCAAAATGCAACTCCTTACCTATTAAAAAATAACTCCCCATTCTCTCCTACCCCTCCTGTCCCTGGCAACTACCATTCTACTGTCTGTCTTTAGGACTTCGGCTACTCTAGGTACTTCATATAAGTGGAATCAAAGAATATTTGTCTTTTTGTGTCTGGCTTATTACACTTAGCCAAATCACTTTAATTAACATTCTAGTATTCAGTAGCTGAATTCTAATTTGCATCCTACTCTATATGCCATATTCTAAAACAAATGTCTAACTTTTCTTACTTGATAACCTTTTCCACTTATCGCTTAAGGACACTTCACTCTAGCAAATTACAAACTCAGAGTTCTTAACGACAATTTAGTCTACCACCTCCGCCGTAAAGAGTTTTTTATTGGTCTTCTTACTCTAAGTGTCAATATTGTGACAATTTTCATTTCATTATAGTTTATGGGCACTGGACCTTTTGCAAAATTCCATCTAGTAGCCTAATGATAGTAAATAATAGCAAACAGAACTCAGGCAGGGCCACCCAGGAGTAAGGAAGTTAAATTTATCTGGGATGCTGATATGAAGGCTCTCTCTTTTGATACTACGTAATTTCTCTACCTGGGGTCGTATTGGCTATAAGTAAAGAGAATTAAAAACGGACACTTTTCTTATCTTTATCCGGGGAAAAGTCTGAAAGTTTCAGATGGCTGGAAACTATTTGAGAATTGTCAAGGTGATCTCACCTTTCATTTTGGGCACCCCTGGTCACTAGTGCTCTGCCAAGTCGAGTAATTTTGGACAAGACACTAATCCTCTGGAAGTCTCAGCGGGTTAGATTAGACCAGCCCGTGCTTCCCAATCTTGTTCACATCCTAGCACACACAGAACATGGTATTGCAGGACCCTGAGTAAACGGAGGAGGCAGCACACCTGGAACTCGCTGGCTGCCATGCATCCCGGCACACGGAATGGACGCTCTCAGGGAGCGCTCCAGACCGCAGGTTCGTTCCAGCTGACGCGCCACGGCTGTCGGGTACAGAGGACGAGCTGGGCTCCCGCTGTTTCTGAAGTCAAAGGCCATTCTATCCTTGTAAAAAAAAGTCTTTATTCTTTAAGAGGACCAAAGCGTAAAAACGCACAAAAACCGACAAGCCACGGAGATTCGCAAACGACGAACTACTGGACTTGCCCAGCGCGCTCTCCGCTTATCCTACGCCTCTTCCCAGCAGGCTCCGGGACTCACCGCGAGACTTCATCAATTCTCGCGAGATTTATCGGCAGCCATCTTCTTGGGGGTGCTGGGAGCCGGGAAGACCCCCCGAATCGTTCCCATTCAGCTGTCCTTCGTCTTCGTTTTCTTCAGTTTTGCCTCTTCTGCGTTGCCAACAAGCACCTGGTCCCGAGGCTGAGAGAAAGCCCGGGTCTAGGCGCGTGTCGCGCTCCCGGTGCAGGAAGATTCGCTGGGGTGGAGGGAAGGGGGAGGGCCCGGGCAAACCGTTGCTGCCTCAGTCCGGGCCGGGGTCCGGGGAGGGGGAAGCTCCTGGCACCCCGTGGACTCGCGGCCTGCGGCGGTCCCCCCGGAGGTGTTCGCCGATCGGGGCTCGCAGAAACCTGCCACCGGTGCCTCCCACCGCGGCCCACGCGGGCGGCGCGCGGAGGAGGGGGCGGGGGCAGCGGCGGCTGTAGCGGCCGCAACCTGGGCGGGCAGAGGAGTGCGACGGGCCTCGGGGCCGCTGTGGATGGTTTCTAAAATGATCATTGAAAACTTCGAGGCGCTCAAGTCCTGGCTCAGCAAGACTCTCGAGCCCATGTGAGTATCCGGGGGCTATCTCCTTGAAGGGATGGGAGTGGGAGGTAGGCGGACACAGAGATACGTGCAGTTTCCCTAAGTGCCTGCGGTGAAGGCCGAAGCGATGAACGGAGGTCCCAGGTTTTCTCCTTCTCTTCCACCCTCGCTCCCAGGTTCAGGATACCCCTGAGAGACTGAACCACATTTATTTTATCTCTGAGTTGGTACTTGAACCGATGTCTTCTGCTCTTGTTTTCCCGTTATGTGTAGACTGACCGCAACCTACACAGACACACACACACGCGCGCGCACACAGTTGTATTTGTATTTGCCGAGGAACCGCACATCGGTTTTTTTTTTAGTGAATTCCAGCATAACCTCTTGCCCACAGACTGTTTTACCTTGTTTCTTTAAATGAAGTGAATGGCCTTTGTTAGAAATTAGGACAGTTCTAGTCCACACCACTCACGTTTTATCTAAATACAATCCCTGAAAGAAAGGCCACGTCTCCCATGTGCTATCTGGCTCATCGGCACCTTTCTTAACTGATTGAAGATGTAACAGGTGCTAAGGTGCCCAGTAAAATTCCTTTTTCCCACCTGCACGTTCGTTGGAGCGGAGAAGAGAAAGTGAATGCAGTCTACCCATATGGAATATTTAGCAGTTTTAAGTGGGATGCTGTAGATGGACTGTGTGGCGGGGGAGACGGGACCAGAATGCTGGAAGGTTTTAGATTGGAAAAATCAAGGAGTGTTTTAAGTATTTATCTTTTAATACATAGAAAATATGTCTTGAGCCAAGTGATTTATCTGAATTGGTTGATTTGCAATAAACAACTTAAAATGCAATGGGGAAAATCCACTCATTTAATGAATTTATTAAGTGCCTACTCCGTACTGTGGGAGACTGTGGGGATAGAGCTTTTAAATTCCAAAGTTGACAAGACAATAATAAGTAAATAAAATAACTTCAGATTATAATAAGAGCAATGACAATTATAATAACAGGATCATATGTAAGAGTGGTTTTCAGAAGACCTCTCAGAGGAGGTGACATTTGCGCAACACCTAAGGAGAACGAGGTATTTGTATGGAAGTCTGGAGAAAGCCAGAAGGAACAGCAAGTGCAAAGCCCCTGCAGCAGAAATAGTCATGGTTTGTTCCAGGAAGAGAAAGAACGCAATTGTGGCTGTAAGGAACTTTGTGATGGGGGAGAGAAGGGAAGGACATGAAGTTGGAGAAGTAGGCAGGGGCCAGGTCATGTAGGATCTTCTAGGCCATGGTCAAGAGCTAGGATTTTATTTAAAATATAATGAGAAGACATTAGATGATTTAAAGCAGGCAAAGACTGATTTGATTTGGTTTTAACTCTGCCTGCTTTGTGGAGATTCAGGGGACAAGAATGGAAGCAAGGAGACCATTTTGGAGAGCATGTAGGCAGAGATGTAGATAGTTTGCGTTAGAGTGATAGTGAAGACAGAACTAAGTATGTTTTTTAAGTAGATCTGATAGAACTTGCTGATGGATTGGATGTGGGAGATGAGGGAAAGGGAAAAATCATGGATGATGACTAAAGTTAGCGGAAGCAACTGGATAGGTGATGGTTGTGAAGGTTGGGAGAGAACAGATTGGGGAGAGGAGAGAAGAATGGTTGGTTTTGATCATTAAGTACAAGGTGTTTGTTACACATCTAAGTGAGATGTCAAACAGGTACTTTGGTATATGAGTCTAGCACTTAGGCCAGGACTAGAGAAATTTAGTATAGTATTTAAAGCCATGGAATTATGGGAGATTTCCTAGGAAGAATGTGTAGATAGGGAAGAGAAGAGGGCCCAGACCTGAGGTAGGAAGATTGGGATTTATGTCACTAAAGAAACAAATGTATGACAGAAGAGGTGAATTGTCAACTTTTTGGGATGCTGCAGAATGGATGAAAAAGATGTAGACAATAAGGGGTCCTTAGGTTTGGCGAGGTAGAAGTCATTGATGACCTTAGCAAAATAGTTCAACTGGAGTGGGGTGGTGCAGATAGAAGCCCTATCTCAGTGGATTGGAGAGAGTGTGCAGCAGTGTAGTGTAGTGGTTGAGAGGGAGAAGTCTGGAGCCAGAATGGCTGGCTTTGAGTTCTGCCTCTGCCACTTACCAGCTGTGTAATATTGGGTAAGTTATTTAACTCAGTGCCTCCATTTCCTCATCTCTAAAATGGGGAAAATAACAAACATGTATTAAGAAAATCTTTGAACACTGCCTGGTTTGTAATTAGCACTCAATAAGTATTAGGTGAAAAGAAAACTTTAAAAAATGTTTTGAGTTGAAATAGCACTCCATTTTTAAGCCTTCAGTTGTTGAATTGCTCATCAGCTTTGCTGCCATTTCCTTTTTGCCACTAACCTAAAAGAAGATTATTTATAGCTACTTAATATGTATGCTTCTGATTTTTCTTTAGTTTTAATAAAGCATGTTCCGGGTATCATACAGCCTACTCAGATGGCTGTAGCACTGCAGTCATTACTGTTGGAATAAATAAGGCACTGCTGGTAGAGCCTAGACTGTGGTAGGAATTGGGATTGGTCCTTTCGTAATGTACATTACTGTGGTAAAATTGAGCTGTTATCCAAGTTCCTGTCTGTCTAATTGCAGTTCGGTGAATTCTTGATGACTTTTAAAAAGCTAATTCCAATTTTTTAAGACCTGTGGTTTCTAACCTTGGTTTATGAAACTGTAAGATGTGTTTGTTATCTGAAGGAATGTTTTGCTTTACTTTAAAACTGTAATTGCCAAATAGCACCTATTGGAGAGAGGAACATTTGGAAGACAAAGGGTAAGATATAACTTGAAATTTGTATAGAACTTTTTAGCTGCTTGTGCCTGTAAAGCATCTCATGGTTTTGGACTTGCTGCACGTTTTGAATGTATTAATTAATTAATTAATTAAATTTTATTTTTTTTGAGCAAGATTGGCCCTGTGCTAACATCTGTTGCCAGTCTTCCTCTTTTTCTTTTTTTCTTCCCAAAGTTCCAGTACGTAGTTGTGTGTCATAGTTGTAGGGTTATGTAGCTCTTCTGTGTGGGACGCTGCCTCAGCATGGCTTGATGAGCAGTGAATAGGTCCGCACCCAGGATCCAAACCTGCAAACCCTGGGCTGGTGAAGTGGAGCTCGGAAAGTTAACTGCCATGCCACCGGGCCGGCCCCTGAATGTATTAATTTAGCAAACATTTATTGAGCACTTAATCTACTCTGTGCTAAGCAATGTGATAGATATCGGGGATAGTAGGAAAGAAGACTTGCAATGACTGTCTTCATATGGTTTGCCATTTAGTGGGGAAGACAGATGTTGAACAAGTAGTTAGAAGACTAGTGAGTGTTATGAAGTCCAGAATCCTATCAAACTATGTGTCTGGGAAGTCAGGAAAGGCTTTCCTGGCAGGATAACATTTAATCTCAGCCTGGAAGTATGAAGAGCACTTGCTCTTGCTGGGGCAAAAGAATGGGAATGGAGAGCTATGGGAGCATTCTAAAGTTCTGGAGAACAGATAGTATGAAGGCACTAAAGTGAAAGAAAAAAGGTGTTTTGGAGGAATTGAAAGAATTTGAAAAAATGAGTGAGGAGAAGAATAGCAGGGGATAGCTCCAGAGAGAAGAGCCAGATCACACAAGACTTTGTTGAGTCACGTTAAGGATTTTGGAGGCTATTGAAGGATAGTGGGAAGCCAGTGAAGGGTTTTAGGGCAGGAGAGTTTTCAGATAGACATTAAAAAAAAATCAGGTCGGTTGCAGTTTCAGCATGAGATAAAAGTGGGTGCATGTGTATATTTTATTTGATTACAAGGTCTGTAGGTATATCAGGGTTCTGAGTTTTCTTTTTCATAAATTATTGAAAGTGTAGGTGTTAAAATTATTATCTTGAAATACTTAAGACTGATGTTTTGTTCTCTCCAACATTTGCTTAGTCATACTTGCTAATAATAAAATAAAATTAAATGTTGGTCTTTTCTCTAACATTCATTTCTTTATGATAATGTGAAGTCTTGGAAAAAATTTAAGCTCTTTTTTTGATGATGTTTAATTTTTCTGTTTTTGTTTTTAAATAGAAAAGATTTCTGCTGTTTTAAAACTTTTTGAGTTTACGCGTCACTAAATGTGGTAACTTAATAAAATCATGGACTTTAACTGAAGGGAAACTTCAAGATCTAATCAAACCTCTTAATTTTTCAGAAAATAAGATTGAAAGGCAGATAGAATTAATGACTTGCCCAGATTTAGTGAGTTTAGTAGTAAAGAACAGGATGTCTCGTTTTGCGCTCCTGCTACCATGCAGTGTTTTGGAGGTAGTGTTGTGTAGTGGAAATAAAACAGGTTTTATGTCCACATAAACCAGTGTTAAGATCTCAATTCTGCCACTTTTTAACTGAGTAATCTAGGCAACTGAACCTCAGCTTTCCTTATTGGTGTAATAGGGAGAATTATACTTGTTTCCTTACGTAGTTGAAAGGATTGAATGAGACACATGTTTAAGACCCTAGCTCTTCCCTCCTCCGGTCAATGCTGGTTGATTAAACACGAATAGGTTACATTACTATTATTGCTGCTGTTACTATGATCACTAACACTGGTGCTGCCACTACCACCTAACGTTTGTATGCATTGTTAAAAGTTTTGTATTATTTCCGAGTTCTTTGAGCTAGGCGTTGTTACCTCCATTTTGCAAGTGATGACACTGAGGCGCTGAAGCACAAAGTTAAGATACTTCTCTAGAGTCGTACAGCTAGCTATATAGCATGTGATTAAACAGTGATTTAAACTCAAGCTTTTTAACTTTGGAGCCATGTTCCTAATTTACTACTGCACAATACAGTGTATTCTTTCCTATTATTGTATGCACTGTTTTACTATTACGTTTTCAGAGTAGTAGCTGCTGTTGTAAAGGAACAAAGTTCTAAAGCATCATGGTTATCAGTGCTTTAGAGTTTAAGAAAGAAACCTCTTTGGAGTTTTTATAGTCTTTTCCCCTTCACCCACA